CACATGTTACACTGTGATCTACATGACGAGACACTAGGGGGTGGACCTTTCAAAGGTGATTAGGGCTCTGCATAAATGAATGGATTAACCTGTCTGAGGGATTATGGATTTATGAGCCACCTCAAGATGGGTCAGCTCTAAAGGCCAGTGTAGCTGGAAAATATGTTTCTTTCTGTCTCTGGCCATCTAATACCCAGCATTGTTGCAGGATTCTGCCAGGAAGCAGGCTGTCTCGAGCTGTAGGCTCTCATGGCCTTGGAGTAGAGCTGTGAGCCAAAATCAAGCATCTTTTTATGTTATACAATGTCTGTGTTTCATTATAGCAGCTCAAGATGGACAGAGAGTGACATTTTATTATTTGCTTTTCTGCCTAAAAATTCAACTGCGAGACAGTGTAATGTTTGCAAGCCTTTACTTCCAGCACTGGGGAGGCAGAGGCAGGTGGATCTCTGTGAGTTTGAGGCCAGGTTGGTCTACGTAGTGAGTTCCAGGACAGCCAGAGCTACATATTAAGACCCTGTCTCAGAAAGAAAGAGAGAAAAAGAAAGAAAGAAAGAAAGAAAGAAAGAAAGAAAGAAAGAAAGAAAGGAAGGAAGAATGAAGGAAAGGAACTCAAGTGTGAGTTCTTGAAGAAAGGTCCATCAAGTCACTTAATATTATGCTTCTGAGGTGACATCGTTATGTGCATGTGTTGCCCTCTGGTCCCTACCACTCACTGCTGTGACTTCAGGCACAGACCACCATCTACCATGTCTGACTCACACTTCTTTCTTTCTTTCTTTCTTTCTTTCCTTCTTTCTTTCTTTCTTTCCTTCTTTCTTTCCTTCTTTCTTTCTTTCTTTTTCTTTCTTTTTTTTGTTGTTGTTGTTGTTTTTTGCTTTTTCAAGACAGGGTTTCTCTGTGTAGCCCTGGCTGTCCTGTAACTCACTTGGTAGACCAGGCTGGCCTTGAACACAGAAATCCGCCTGCCTCTGCCTCCCAAGTGCTGGGATTAAAGGCGTGCGCCACTACCGCCCGGCCATTTCTTTCTTTCTTAAAAAAAGAAAAAAATCAATTAATTTGAGTCAAAGTCTTATGTACCCAAGCTGGTGCCAAATTCTCTGTGTAGCCAGGATCACCCTGAAGTTCAGGTCTTCCTATCCTGAGCTCTGGATTGCTGGGGCTGTACTACCATGCTGAATTCATGGGGTGCCTGAGATCAAACCAGGCTGTGTGAATGCTAGGCAAGCACTATACCGACTAAGATATGTTACCAGCCCCTTGGCTCAAGTTTCTTTGATTTTTTTTTTCATATGCTTGTGTGTGTGTGTTCATGGATATGTGGAAATCCAATAATGACTTTGGGAATCTTCCTGTCTCCCTCTCCACCTTCCCGGTGGTCTCTCTCTCGAGTCTGGAGCTCACTGATAATGCTCATTTAGCTATGTAGCTTGCTCTGGGGAATCCCTGGTCTTCACCTTCGATTTCTGAGTCCTGGAATTATAAGTGGGCTGTCATACGAACTAGGCATTTACGTGGGTCCTAGGAACCAAACATCAGGCTTTATGCTTGTGTGGTAAGCCACTGAGCCATCTCCTCAGCCCTCAGATATATTTTCATTACAAAACATTTACATTAATTTGTGTATGTCTGTGTATGCACTCGGGCATGGCATGCATGTGGAAGTCAGAGGACATCTTGTAGCAGCAGCAGCAGTCAGCTTTCTCTCTCCACCGTGTGAGTTCAGGGGATGGACCTTGGCTGCAAGCATCTTTCCCTACTAAGCTCTCTCTCTTAGCTTGCCTTCAGAAATCTCAATGAAACAAACTGCTTGATGGTGTTGGTGAGAACAATGATAAAGACTGCTTTTGTAAGCTAGAGTTTTGTTATAATGTAAACTCGACGGAATCCACCCTGAAGGAGGCGCCTGTTGACAGTACAAAGAGGGAGCTCGGGACTCTATTCAGCCTTGGCTGTGGGTCCGGTTTTGATCAGAGCTCCGAGTCTCGGCTCTCCCCTAGGCTCGTTTTCAGCCTTCTCTTTCGCAGCATGAGTGCTTAAACACAACCCTTTTCTACCTCTGTTTCCACCTCACCCTTGATGGTGCCTGTGATTTTCTATCCAATAAGAGGAGGAGAGTGGAGTTTTGCTTTCCCTGACAACCAAACATCTTGGGGCTTGCTCCAGGCTCCGCCTCCCACACATCCGCCGCCAGCGCCAGTGTGGACTCCTAGGCTCTTCTCCGGATGCCGTGTGTGTGTGTGTGTGTGTGTGTGTGTGTGTGTGTGTGTGGTGGTGGTGGTGGTGGTGGTGGTGGTGGTGGTGATGTTTTGTTTTTTCCCCTTCCCACTAGCTGACCTCATTTTTTCTAGGGCCGAAGCCATCCTATAAGACAACACTTGCCAATTTGTGAGTTGATGGCAGTTTTGCATTTGTGGCACTAGAGGAGTCAGCTTGTCCCATTGTCTTTTGTAACGAAAATGATATTAACACTATTTCCTTCCCGCTGAGCCTGAACATGGCTGGAAACACAGAAGATGGCCTGGCGTGTCACACATGGCTACAACCTGGAAAGCTTTAGGAGCCTCGCTGTTGTTTGTGGGAAGTGCCAGTACCCAGCTCTGCTTCCTGCTCCTCAGAACAACATGCTGTTTGGCTCCATCAAGTCTCTGTCATGGGTTGCCACACAGACACTGTCTGCCTTGTGCTGTCATTTCCTGGCAGGGAACAATCGCTCCACATTGCCTCAGGAACCCATAGTGTCGCTCTCCCGGCAGCTGACCCGGTCCTTAAACAGCAGATGTACAGCTGGAGTCATTCTTTTGGGAACAAAGCCAGTGTGGCTCATCTGAAAGAGCGCCAAGTGTGGTCCTGGGAGCGCAGAGCACAGCTGCATGGTTTTGGCAACTGAGGAACTGCTTCTCCCACCCCCCCATTAACTTGTGACAACCACAGGAGAGCCTTCCTGTCATTTCTTCATCTGAAACCATGAGATGGGGGAAGGTGGCAGCGGTGGCTCTGTTTTTACACAATCACAAGCCTCACCCCACAGCACTGGCCATTGGGTGTGACAAGGTAGCTCCAGCAGTCAAGCTAACCAGCTGTTTCTAGATCTTTCTTCAGTTAATATGTATCATGTTCTTGGCTTCATCTTTTACCTCTGAAGTCTCAGTCTCTCATTATTTAAATGACTTTATAGGCACCAATTCAAATTGGTTTCTGTATCCTCCGCATAGAATGTCCTAAGTTAGTGGAAAATGTTTCTTTAGATGCATACCATGAATAATTAAGTTAGATAGTAATCTATCAAACAGCCAACTAATATTTATGCAACATCTATTTTGTGTATTTCACAGTGTAAGGAGCTCACTGTGAAGGTTTAACAGATTATAGATTGCTCAGGAGGTTTGTGTCCTTGAAAAGTTAATAATGGTTATTTCATATTTTAAATGATAAATGCTTATTACGTGGGACTTCTTCATAACAAGGATTTAAATACAACCGAGGGATACAAAGTGAGCTCATTCAGACACTAGGTTTGGATAGTAGTAGATAGTTGTAACAAATGATCCTTCTGGAACCTTCTGACTTACAAAGCATTGTTCTGACAAGGAAATGTTACATAACCTAAACTGGCCATGATCTGGTTGCTTGCAGAGGAAGAATCTGCCAGGCTCTTGGAATGGTCATTTCTGACTCCCAAAGGGTGAAATAATAAATTGGCAGTTAAGACCACACAGCTACCAGGCGGAGTGGAAAAGATCGAAGGTCACATGCTTTCCAGTTTGTCCTGCTTACATATAGGCCTCTAGGTCACTACAACACTCATTTATAAAATACTGCTTCTATACACAACATACTTTATGTAATTTTTCTTCATCTCCTGGAATCTTCATGGAGGTCCTCTCTCCCGCCTGTGTACACTAACAACAGATCTATAACTTCCTAGGACTGGGAATCCTATTTTTGTTCATATTCATAGTTAAAGGATTTCAAGATTTTGTGCTTTCTCCTCAGCGATTAGTTCCATCGGCCTGCATCTTAACACCTGAGAACTTGGCTCTGTGGGCCAGGGCATCTGTGCTCAGAAGACTGAGTTATCCTACCGATAATCCTCCCAGCTTCACACTGGCAGCATTTAAATGGTTCAGTATTTCAGAAAGACCATCATCTCAGCATATTAAATATTAAGGGCCCCCCTCAGCGCCCGAACCATAAAGTTATTCTCTGTAAAATCTGCGCGTGTGTTCCCATTGCACAGAAAGAACGGTGCAGCGGGGTTTTCTGGAAGCAGCATGACTATAAGCGTCGCTCCCGCCCCTGCCATTCACAAGGGCCCATTTGCTGTGAAATATTTTGAAAACACTACTGAAGCGGGGACAGCACAGAGCGCAAACATGCAAAAATAGGAACGAGCCGAACGTGCTGGAAGGACGAAGGAGGTTCAGGAAACGAACATAAATCTCGAGGGGACTACGCAGGCCACGGGCTGCGGTTCAGGGATTGGTATCAGGCTCCGAACCGTCTATCACTGGGGGCCGTTCCCCAGGACTGGGAGGCTTCGGGATGGAAGAAGCCGTCGCTGAGCCCGCTTTCTCCCCGTAGCACCAGGAAGCAGTGCCTGCCTGGACCACAGTACTCCCAGTCCCAAAAATAGCTACACAAACGCGAGGGGAGCGCTGGCCTGCGGCGCCGGGCGGAGCTACAGGCAGCTTATCACCCTCAGCCAAGGCTCTCCACCCCGCCCAGAGCTCGCCCTTTATAGCCAGTCCCTCGAGCCCCGCCTTAGCAACCGCCCCTAGCAACGTCTAGCTGGAGCGCTCTGCGGGCTTATCGGCCTCAGGCAGGCCTTTCCTGTCCCCTCCCCCACGCCAGCTCGCGTGACACCGGGCCACGTGACTGCCTTCCGGAAAGGCGGGGGTGAGTGGAAACGGGAGGCGGGGCGCTGGAAGAGGAGGCCTTCCGTCATCAAGCTGCGACCGGATGGCTGTGTCGCCTAGTGCTTGTCGCGGGTTAGAGGTCCCGTCACCAAACGAAATGGCGGAGGCTGCGGTGGTGGCGTGGGTTCGCGGCCCCGGTTCCGTGTGGAAGGCGCTGCCGTGTGCCTCGGCTGGGTGCTCCGTGCGCGATGTTATCTACCGACACTGCCAAGAACAGGTGAGGATCGCGGTTCCCGGAAGAGGCGGGAAAGAGATCGCCCCAAGCCAGGCTGGGTTCGTCGTGGTTGGTTGTGTTCTCTGAACAGTTCTGTTTTTGAGGCTGAGATTTTTCCAGTTTTAGGTGCTTCTGACTAATATGGGGACCTTGCTCTGCTATTCTATAACTGTAATTGTTTTGCCTCCACGTCGTAAGAGAAAACAACATCCAGTTCGACGCTTAGTCCAACCTTGATTAGAAACTCGTTCTGTTTCTTTTATCCCCTTAAACGATGCCTTTAAAGTTCTCTTGTTACATTCAAATTATAGATTGGAATATGCTTCTTACGACTCATCAGGAAACCCACCTAGGCCAAAGGACAGTTAGAAAAGGATATGGATTGATCCTGTCAGGGCCAATCACTCATAGATGTTCTGTTAACACCATAGATTCTTGGGCCTCTTGTTTAGATTATGCCAGGTGTATTTATGAAACCCTGGTCAAGTGCTTCTAAAGTTCTAAGCTTTAATTCCCAAATAAAGCAAGCTTTTACTGACTATGAAATCGGAAACCTCTTAAATCATCTAAATAATGCGCTGGTTTTCTTGAATCTAATTTTAATCTGCGCATTTAGTCTAGAATGTATTTTCTCTATGACTGCAACTTTCCCGAGTTGTTGTTGTCTGTTTTCTCTGCTTGTTACGTATAAACTTAACAAACGTTAAAGTACCAAATCTGGTCCTAAAGAAGCAGTGTATGCTTGCAAATATGTGATGTTCTAAGTTTTTGTTTGTCCTTAAAAAAAAAAAAAAGAGCAAGAAAGTCTTGCCCTTGTAGCCCAGGCTGGTCTCAACATACCAGAGGGCTGGCATTATTGGTGTATCCCACCGCATGTAGCCTTTGTTTTCTTCTCTATACTACAGTGTAGTAAGAAAAACAGAACCTTTTTAACTGTTTGAATTGAAATACTTTCCAAAACAGTTGACTTTCAATGTATTTAAAGAATACGTTTCATGTTTTTTTTTTTGGTTTGGCTTTTCGAGACAGGGTTTCTCATGCTTTGTTTTTAAACTTAAAGTTGATCTATAAACAATAGAATCTTAACAAGGAGAAATGTTGGAAATATATTTTTGTGAAAGGACCCAGAAATAAGGCTGGATCTGGTGGTGTATGCCATGAAAAAGTTTTCTCTTTCACTGAGAGAGTAAAAACTTTGCCCTGCTGATCATTAGCCTTAACAGACATCAATAAATGCGCCTCAGGTTAATAGGCAACTCCCAAGGATGTACCGCTATAGTAAAATACTGTAAAGACCTTGAAAATCTACTCCTTTCTTATTTGCTGGAAAAAAGTTGTCTTCAAAAACCAGAGATGGGAAGAACTGGGCTGCTGGAGGTGTCGGCAGGACAGGGGCTTTCTGCTGCTCCTTTGTCACGGAGGCCCAGATGTAGGTACAACTTCCAGTTAGGGGTTTCTGAATAGGATAGTTTGCATCTAAAATTTGTAGTTCCAAGGGAAGCTGAGCCTGGGTGTGCTCAGCAGTCCCAGCCTGACGTTGGCCCTCACACACCTGTAGTCCTCTAAACACTGCTTCATTTAAACTTCACCTAACCTCCATCCTGTAGTGATGCTTGCTTTTTTGTTAGGGACTGGGGAAATTCTCCCATGGTTTCTCTGTCTGCAGCTCCTTACTGCATGCAGTTGGTTTGTACATTTGACCTTAGTGGACTACAGGTTTGTCTCTGATGCTTAGGCTGGTCCAGCAAAGGTATAGATGAATACCTTGTGTTTGGAGCACTTTATAGTCCACACATTTGGGAAATGTATCTTCTAAATTCTTTTTTCTACTAGAGACTTAATAGACAAGAATCTTAACTAGAAAATGCAAGGGGGTAGCTGGTGGCTTAATGGTTATGAGCACTTGTTGCTCATCTTGAGGCCTTGAATTCAGTCTCTACGACCAATGTCAGGCAGCTCAATCAATTGTAACTCCAGCTACAGGGAAGTGGATGACTCTGGCCTCTGAAGGCACCTGCACTGATAATATACAGACAGACATAATACACTTACACATAGTGAAAAGTATTTTAAAAGGAATTCTTTTTATAAAAAAGAATAAAGTATAGCTTTGATTCACTCTCCCCTTCACTGAACAGTTTCGAAGTTATTTAAAAATGTGGAGCCAGTCACTTTAACACCAGCGTTAGTGAGGCAGAGGCCGGCGAGATTGAATATAGCCTGACCTCCAGGACAGCCAGAGCTACACAGAGAAACTGTGTCTCAAAACAACAAACAAAAATTTTATATACAATATATAACATAAAAGTTGTTAAAGTGGTTTTTAGTTTATAAGCAATATGAGGTGTGAATCTTTACAACTTAAGGTAGACAGTTTTACAGACAAAACAGCCCTTTGTCCCAGTCATTTTGTGTAGATGGCCTCAGCCCCCAGCTCTTCACGTCTCTTGTTTGCAGAGGTGTCTCCTGTACCTGCTTGTCACTGAGAAGGAAAGAGACTGCTTCTCTTCATATTAGCACTTGCACCTTCCAGCTCTGAATGCAGCCTGCCCGTCTCTTGCTGTGGGTGAACTGTTGTTATTCTACAATTAATTTGTAATTACTGTCTTTGTACGGTTAAGCTCTCTTGACAACATAGCCAAGAGCGTCTCGGTTGGAAGATTGTCTCTACCAGATTGACCTGTGGGATTGTCTGGGAATCGTTTTCTTAATTGCTAATTGAAGTAGGAAGGCCAAGGCTACTGTGGGCTGTGCCGTGCAGGTGGGCCTGGGATGCATAGGAAAGGCAGCTGAGCAACCAGAGAGAGAGAAGTCTGAAAGCAGTGTTTCTTCAAGGCTTCTGCTTCAGCTCCTGCCCTGACTTCCCCTCGCTGATGAACTAGGACCCAGGAGTGTAAGCTGAAACAATCCTTTCCTCCCTTCGTTGCTTTTGGTCATGGTATCCATCACAAGAACAGAAGAGCAATTGGTTTTGAGTTTTCATTACATGCTGAGTTGATTGTTTGACACAGTTGGTCATGACTGTCCCTACATCACAATCAACCCTCTTCCTCTTCTTGGGAGTTACTAGAGTTAATCTTCTAATTTTTTTTCTGATAACTTTTTCTCTCATGGTGGTTTTAAACAGTCACATGACTGCTTAAGTGACATTGTTATATTGACAACTGTGTGTGTGGGGGGGTTAGGCAGGGTCTCTTTTTTTATGTAGTGTTGTCTGTCTTGAAACTCACAGAGATCTGTCTGCCTCTGCCTTCCGTGTTGTGGGATTAAAGGCATGGTCACCTTTCCAGGCCAGTAATTTTATTTAGAGTGAAATCTAAAATCCTCACTGGGCATGATGGTGCACGTCTTGGTGTCTTGCAAGTTTGAGTAGACAGTCTAGGCTACCTCCACTCTACGGAAACAAACCACCTAACGTGTATCCAGCCTCTTCCTTCTCTTGCCTCCCTCCCTACACATGCCAGGGGGATTCGGCAGTTTTAAGCTCTGGATCAGTTTTGATACTAAATTGACCCCCAGTTTATATAAAGGTCAGGAAAAATGAGTGAGACTAATGCCTTACTAGATCTGTGCCCTGTGTGTGCACTACCATGATTCGTGGGACCTTTAAGAGAGAAGGAGGGTGCATAGGTCACAGTAGGAAACTGCACTCAACACAGGAATGACGGGTTTGGTCATTTTTGTTTTCAGCTCAACAAATAGTAATCTAACCTATTATCTGCTGTAAAATGATTAATAAAAGACTAAGTTAGGCCTTGTTGATGTCGTAAGGGCATTAAACACTTGCTCTTGTCTCTAGGAAATTCCTGTGGAATGCTTCTTTGTGAAGTGCAATGGAGTCCTCGTTGCTGCCGGTGACAAGGTGCAGCCTGGAGCTGTGTACAGTTTGGAGCCGAGGCTTCATGGAGGGAAAGGAGGTAGGATGAGGTGGATGGCTCGGTGTAGCAATGTCTGTGCTTTTTAAGCATGTGTGAAATGAAGACACTTGTTGGTCTCTGGCATACCAGCCTTTGGTTGCCTTGTGAGTAATTTTTTTGGATATATTCTCTTTGAGGAAAAAAAAATAACTTACAAATCCCAGCTTCTCCAGCTAGGATACACTTTGAGAACCTTGGCTTCAAGACTTTAGAGAGGTAAGAGGATAAAAGGTAACCATTAGTCCTTACCATTTGTTGAAGGGGAAGCTTTCAAACAATCATTGCCTGCTTTTATCAAGATTTGTCTCCTGTTGTACTTCTTCGAAGGGTGACCCAAAGTCACCTTAGGAAACAGTTTTTCCCAGGTCAGGTAGATTAAGGTCCTGGCTGTACTGGTAAGGTTAAGAAGAAGGCAAAGAGGGCTGGAGAGATGGCTCAGTGGTTAGGAGCACTGGCTGTTCCTCTAGAGAACCAGGGTTCGGTTCCCATCATCTACATGACAGCTCAAAATGGGGATCCATGGCACCAGGCATGCATGTGGTATACATATCTGGGCATGCAGGCAAAATACCCATACGTATAAAATAAATAAACCTTTTTTTTGTTTTTGTTTTTCCAGACAAAGTTTTTTTGTGTAATAGAGCCTTGGCTATCCTGGAACTCACTTTGTACATGGCTAGCCTCAAACTCAGATCAATCTGCCTCTGCTTCCTAAATGCTGGGATTAAAGGTGTGAGCTACTAGGCCAGCAAATAATTAAATCTGAAGAGGAAGAGGGGGAGGAAAAGGGAGAAGAGGAAGAAGCAGAGAAAGCAGAAGCATGCAGACAGCATGAAGAGCTGTGGGATTCTTCAGCTGCACAAGCGTATTCTTAAGTTTCCTCAGAGCCTCAGAGTAGTCATCCTTTCTGTTGAAATGTATCCATAAGAAAGCAGCATGCCCCCAGATACCAGCAGCTTAAGGTTACCCTTCTCTTAAACTTAAGAAAGAAAAACCCTTGCCAGGTGTGGTACACCTTTAACACCAGTACTCAGGAGGCAGAGGCAAGGGGGTCTCGGAGTTTGAGCCCATCCTATTCTACAGACTGACTGTTAGATCTTGAAAACCAAAGTTGGTGGCAAGGGAAGTATACCACATTATTGTAATTATTATTTGTCTGTAAGACAAGGTCTTGATAAGTAGTTCAAGCTGGCATTGAATTTGTGGCAATCCTGCTGCCTCAGTTTTCCAAATGCTGGAATTATTAGTGGGTGCCATCATGCCAGGCTCACTTCATGACTTTGAAAGTTTTGGGCTGTTTCTTTGTTAATTTATTTATAACATTGCAGCAGGGTCACTATAGCTCGTCTGATCTTGAACTCACAGTATAGCCCAGGCTAGCCTCAAATTCACTTCAGTTTTCCTCCTTCAACCTTCCCACAGTGCATGAGCCACATACCTGCATAGACCAGGCTGGCCTTAGACCCTCAGGGATCACTTCTGGTTCTTCTCTAGTTGGTTTTAAACACAGTTGGTATAGATGCTGCTGGTGGCTAATGTGGGCACTTAATGTGGGCACTTACAGCTAATGTGTGCCTCTTACCGCAGGGCCCAGGCTCTCCTGTAGTTAGCCACCATCTACATCACATGAATCTTGTGATTCTGTACATGTGGTGTCTGTGTTCCTGTGCACGTGAATGAGTGTATATGTGTGGGTTAGTGTGTTCATGTGGAGGCCATGTGTTAAATGGGTTCTCTTCCTTGGTCACTCTTCACTTTATCTGTAGAGATAAGATTGCTCTCTGACCCAGGAGCTCTCTGCCCAGTGAACTCCAGGGGTTGTAAGCGTGTGTCTCGTGTCCAGCTTGTACATGGACAAGCAGTTCCTGTGTGGTTATGCAGTGGACACGTTACTCACTAAACTGCCTCTGAAGTCTCTTCGCATGGTTCTTCACCTAGGAACCTTGGTGTCTAGCATTGACTAAAGCTTTTCATTGATCCTACCTGTACAGTACAGCATTCAAATTGATCAATACCTTAGTTTCCTGGGTAAAAACTTAGATGTCCATCTTCTTTTCAAAAAGAAAAAGAAAGAATGGAGTTTACTTTTAGTCTTACAATAGAGGGAGTTTTCATTGACCTGACTTGCATCCTTAACCCTCTTATCCATGTATTTTGGCTTCAGGTTTTGGGTCTATGCTTCGAGCACTTGGTGCACAGATAGAGAAGACGACCAATAGAGAAGCCTGCCGGGATCTCAGTGGGAGGAGATTACGAGATGTCAATCATGAGAAAGCGTAAGCTATCCCCTTTTAGTTAAATCTCTGTCTTAGTTGGGATTTTACTGCTATGAAGAAACACCATGACCACAGCAACCCCTCTTTTGTTTTGTTTTAAGTTTTTTTTAGTGTGTGTGTGTTTGTGTACACATACACTGTCACTACCTTTAGACACACCAGAAGAGGGTATGAGATCCCACTAAAGAAGGTTGTGAGCCACCATGTGGTTGCTGGGAATTGAACTCAGGACCTTTGGAAGAGCAGTTAATGCTCTTAACTGCTGAGTCATCTTTCCAGCTCCCAACACAGCCACTCTTATAATGGCAGACATTTAATTGGAGCTGGCTTACGGTTTCAGAGGTGCAGTTAATTATTATCATGGCAGGAAGCATAGCAGTGGGCAGGTAGACATGGCAGTAGAGGAGGAGCTTGAGAGTTCTATATCTTGATCTGAAGGCAGCCAGAAAAAACTTCTGCAGGAGGCCTGGAGGAGACTGATTTCACACTGGTGGAGCCTGAACATAGGAGCCCTCAAAGCCTACCTACACAGTGATGTGTTTCCTCCAACAAGGCCACACCTAATAGTGCCATTCCTTGTGTCCAGGCAGTTAAACACATAAATCTATGGGGCCAAAACGATTCAGAAACCAGTCTCTTCAGAAAATAGTCTCTTCCGGTATTGTGACATTAAACATGACACATCTTTCTGGACTAGTGTCATACTATGATTAGGAGTCCATTAATTGTCTAGGGAACTTTTTTTATTTATTCCAAATGCTTGGGGGTGAGTTCTGGGAAACCTTGTTAACAGAATTCCTGATCAAGCACCACAGAGGAGCATTGGTGAGTGCGAACATTACATTCGATCCCCTTTCACTGCGTCAGTGAAGAGCTTGGTGGACTGGCATGCATGAGCGTGGCCTGTGAGTCATGGCATACAGTTTCATGGTAAACTTGTTTGGTTTGTTTGTCTCTTGTGGTTTTTTTTTTTTGAGACTGGGTCTCTAGCTCTGGCTATGCTTTAGCTCACTATGTAGACTATGGTAGCCTTGAACTCACAGAGATCTGCCTGCCTCTGCCTCCCAGTGCTGGGTTTAAAGTTGTTTGACACCATGACTAGCATAAGTGAACTTGACTCAAGGCAGAAGTGAGACAAGGCTAGAGCAACAGTGCAGGTTGGTGGTGGAGCACTTGCCTAAGGTCCTGGGTTAATCCCTGTGATTACCCTCCCCACCTCCAGTAAATAGCTGATAAATCAGTGGTAGTTATTAGCAAGCATTATGTCCTGTGTTTGACTGTTCTGTACTTTTAAACTACTTGTAGCTGGATGTTTTTTGTTTTTAAATAACAAACAAACAGGTGAATAAATGTTACTATGACTACAGTGTTATTAAGTCATACGAGTTTTTCAAGTCCATCACAGTATGGGACCACCTTTATACATGTGGTCTGCTATTCATCTAAGTGCTGGGTGACAGGTGATATGTAAAGCATGTGTATGATGCAGTCATCCAGTTATATCTCCTCCCGTCCCCAGGATGGCCGAGTGGGTAAAACAGCAAGCCGAGCGAGAGGCTGAAAAGGAGCAAAGGCGCCTGGAGAGACTGCAGCGAAAGCTTGCTGAGCCTGCGCACTGCTTCTCCAGCCCAGACTACCAGAGGCAGTGCCATGAGATGGCTGAGCGTCTGGAGGACTCAGTCCTCAAAGGTAAGAGCGAAGATTGCTCTGCATGCTCTACAGGCCCCTGGGTTCAAGATCCGATGCTCATAGTGGATCGTGAGCATTTTGGAGGAGGGTGAGGAAAGCCTTGGAACCTCTCCTCAGAACTCTGCACAGCCTGTTACCGTATGCCCGGCACAGACAACATCTGTATGCTTCTCCGGAAATCCTTTCGGCTCCTTAGCCTGGTCTCTGATGGCTGAGCCATCTCTCCAGTTCATCTTCATTTTTTTTCAGTGTAGCTTAGGTCTAGGGAAAGTCTTCAGGAGTTGTGTACATATATCAGTATGTTCTTTAAATCGTCCAGTGTACTAGTGTCCTGGGCCTGTCATGAGTCCAGTTGATTTAAAGGGACTTTTCATCAAAAAAAACTAGGATAGGAAAGACATGTATGTAAATAGCTGTTAGCTATGAACCTTCAGCCTCAAGTTACAAATCACATATTGTGTTTTAAAAATACTGTTCTAAGCTGGGTGTGGTGGTACACTTTTAATCCCAGCACTTGTGAAGCAGAGGCTGGTGAGTCTCTGTGAGTTCAAGGCCACTCTGGTCTACAAATTGAGTTTAGGACAGCCAGGGCTATACACAGAAACCCAGCCTTGAAAAACCAAACCAACCAAACAAGAAAAACCCCAAATCCAGACAGTGTTCTAGCTAGGAGTGATGGTGCATGTGACCCTCCCACTAGAGCAGTGAGCAGAGGAGGATCAGGGGTCAAGGGTATCTCCAGCTACAGTGTGTTGAGGCTAGCTTGGGCTGAATGAGGCCTGGCCACAAACAAGTACGGTTTCATAATGGCTTTTTTGCCTTTGAGATTAATCTCATTACCATAAAAAAATGTGATATGACAATTTATATTCATCAGGTGAGGAACAGCCATAACTAAGTCTGCTTGAAAACAACATAAACTTGTTACTTTGTATGCTAATTTTTTTAAAAAGAAATTTAAATACATAGCTTCAGATTATAGATTGTATCCTGACAGAAACTGGGCAATTTTCCACTTAGGTATACAGGCTGCCTCCAGCAAGATGGTATCAGCAGAAATCACTGATACTAGAAAACGACCTAACAAGTCAAAAATGGACCAGGGAGCTGGTACAAAGAAGAGGAAATGCTTTTGGTAAGTTTTCCTGTTTCTTCCACATTGATCTTGGAGAACCTGGGTGACGTTTCCATCTTGTCTGCTGCCATGAGTGCCGGTCCTCCTTCCCTCCCCTTTCCTCCTGATTTTTTTTTTTAATTTTTAAGATTTATGTATCTTATATATGTGAGTACATACATACCAGAAGAGAGTATCAAACCCCATTACAGATGGTTGTGAGCCACCATGTGGTTGCTGGGAATTGAACTCAGAACCTCTGGAAGGTCATTGCTCTTAACCTCTGAGCCATCTCTCCAGCCTTTGATTTTCCTTCTTTCTTTCCTTCCTTCTTTCTTTCCTTCTTTCTTTCTTTCTTTCTTTTTTTTTTTTGTTTTTCTAGACAGGGTTTCTCTGTGTAGCCCTGGCTGTCCTGGAACTCACTCCTGTAGACCAGGCTGGCCTCGAACTCAGAAATCCGCCTGTCTTTGCCTCCCAAGTGCTGGGATTAAAGGCGTGTGCCACCACAGCCCGGCTTTTTTTTTTTTTTTTAATGTATTTACCATTGCTCTCTTCAGACACACCAGAAGAGGGCATCAGACCCCATTGCAGATGGTTATGAGCCACCATGAGGTTGCTGGGAATTGAACTCAGGACCTCTGGAAGAGCAATCAGTGCTCTTAACCACTGAGCCATCTCTCCAGCCCCAAACAAGCACATTTTTAAGTACCATTGATGGGAGCTCACATTTCCAGAGCACTCAGACTGTGTTGATTGGCACTCTGTACACACTAGTAGTGTTTTCTACCTTGGAAGTCATTCAACAGAATCTGAACAATAAATTTGGGTGTGTACATGGTGTATGTGGTTGTGTGTGTGTGTGTGTTATTCTAAAATTACACTCAAAACTTTCCTTTTCTATATTAATTCCACCTGTTGACAATTGGACACAGTAAAAAGCCATATAAAAATGCTTAGGTCTTAGGATACTGGCGAGAGCATGGCACTCTGTCTGGCTTCACAGTGGTTGGATGGAGTCCTTTTGAGATGTTTTCCTTTCTATCTATGTCTCAGAACGTAGTTTTCTGAAAGCTGCGTACTCGACATCTTAAGTTAGCTTGTGCTTTTACTGTGTAGACAGTCCACCGTGCAGGTGGAGGTGCAGGCTGGAAATGGTGTCACGTCCTTCTGCTGCTCCCCACAGGTTGGGCATGGAAGGACTGGAGACTGCTGAAGGAGCCAGTACTGGCAGCTCAGATGACAGCTCAGATGGTGATGGTGAAGATGCTCCTGGGACGTCGGGGCCGAGCTGCTGTGCTCGGGAAAATGGCAGTGATGATGTAGAGGTGGCAGTTGACTATCCTGGCAGTCCTCAGAACTTGGGATCCAGTACACACTCGGAGTCACCCAAAAAGCTTCAGAGCTCCATGACTGAGCCTGGGCAGGGCATTTTGGAGAACACAGGAGCTGAGCTAGGAGAGACATCTGACAAGGAACACAATGAAAGGAAGACAGTCACAGAAACAGAGGACACCCCAGCAAGGAAGGAAACAGAGAGTCCTGAGCCCACAGAAAAGGACCAGAAGTCAGGAGTGACTGGAGGGGACAGTGCTGCCATGGCTTTGTCTGGAGAAGACAGGAAAAGCATCCCTGCTGCTAAGCTGGAGGGAATCGATGCAGGAGGCACAGTATGTTGGGGTTTTGTTTTCACTCTTAAAAAAAAAAAAAGAGTAGGATGGGCTCGTGGTGCACACTTTTAGTCCCGGCACTCAGGATGCAGAAGCAGGCCAATCTCTCTGAGTTCAAGGCCAGCCTGGTCTTACAGATCTCGAGTTTGCAGGGCAGCCAGGGCTACACAAAAAACCCTGTCTTAAAAAAAATAAAACAAACAAACAAGCAAACAGGCTCGAGAGATGGCTCAGTGGTTAAGAGCACTGACTTGACTGCTTATCCAGAGGTCCTGGGTTCAATTCCCAGCAACCACATGGTGGCTCATAACCATCTGTAATGGGATCCAATGCCCTCTTCTGATGTGCATGACAGTGTATACATATACATAAAATAAATAAATCTTAGCAAACAAACAATAGCAGCAACAGAAATAGAGCGAGAGCACAAGGGTGCATGCTCTGGAACTTGCCATGTAGACCAGGCTGGACCCAAAGTGAAGAAGTTCTTCCTGCCTCTGCCTCTCCAGTACTGGGCTTATAGGCATGTGCCACCAACTCAGCCCTTACCATTTCTTTTTTTTTTTTTTTTTAAAGATTTATTTATTTATTATATATGAATACACTGTAGCTAGCTGTCTTCAGACACACCAGAAGAGGGCATCGAATCTCATTACGGATGGTTGTAAGCCACCATGTGGTTGCTGGGATTTGAACTCAGGACCTCTGAAAGAGCAGTCAGTGCTCTTAACCACTGAGCCATCTCTCCAGCCCCGCCCTTACCATTTCTTTTCAAATTTTTTTATTATGTGTATGGATGATCTGCTTGCATGTACGTTTGTGTGAAAAGTGCATGCTTGGTTCCTATGGAGACCAAAAGAGGGCATTGGATCCACTGGAACTGGAGTTATAGATGGTTTTGAGCTGCCTTTTAGGCACTGGGAATCAAAGCCATGTCCTCTGGAAGAGCAGGTGGTGCTCTTAACCTCAGAGCCGTCCATCTCTCCAGCCCATTTTAGTCTAGTTGGTTTCTGTTGTGTTGTTTGAGATAGGGCCCAGAGTTGTCCTCACACGCATGCCCACACATGTCACACACTGTGAGAATGTTACGTTTCAGGGAGCTGGGGAGACAGTTCAGTTAAGAGCTCTGGCCTCTCTGCCAGAGGACCTGGGTTTGATTCTCAGTATGCACATGTGCACAGCTGTCTTTAACTCTAGTTCTACCCTCTTCTTGGCTGTGAGGGCACCAAGCATACACACAGTTTTCAGACATACCTGCAGGCAAAATACCCATACACATAAAATAAAATAAGACATTAAAAAGGAAGGAAAATCCTGTCAGGGCATTGGAAGTGTTTAGTTTTGTCTGAAGAAGAACAGCTGCAAGCCCATGAGACACATCTTACAGTCGCCATGGACTGTAAGTGGAAACACACTGGTCTCAGTTACACAGCTAGAACTGAGAGCTCTCCGATTGTGGAAGAGTAAGAGGAAGCGGTGGTGACACAGTATTTAAAGCTTGTTACTATCATGAATGTTTCTAGATACAGAGATGGCACGTCAGTAGCAGAGTGATAGTACAGTGAGTAGCACTTCCTTATTAACAATGGAATGTTCTTGGTATTTACAGTCTTCAGAGGAAGAGGAGGGGCTGGCTGTAATGTTCCCTTTTCCCATCAGGCTCTTGGTCTGGAAGCTGTGGATCTGTCAGCATTCAGCTCTGCAGCCGAGTTGGAGTCACTGGGTTTGGAGAAGCTCAAGTATGAACTGATGGCCCTTGGACTGAAGTGTGGGGGGACCCTGCAGGAGCGCGCAGCCAGACTCTTCTCTGTCAGAGGCCTCTCAAAGGAGCTCATCGACCCAGCTTTATTTGCCAAGCCTTCAAAAGGGAAGAAGAAGTGAATTTCCTCAGCACTCTCCTGGTATTTGATACTTCCTCCGGTGTGATAGACTTGTGGCCAGTGTTCCTTTTGATACTAAAAGCCAGTTTTCTAATAATTTGGTTCTAACTAGTCTCTTTTCAATGGTACCTGGGCTTGATGTTTTCATTGGAAGAGAAAACTTTGTATGCTTTTTTCTTTCTTTTTGTGTTTTTGTAAGAGACTTACTCTGTAACCCAGACTGACCAAGAACTGTGTAGTTCACTTTGGTCTCAAACTTGCAATGATCCTCCTGTCTCAGGCATGAGCCACCGCGCCTGCTTTGTCAGAGGTTTATACATTTCTTTGGCTTTATATATTGTGTCACTTGGGTAAGATATTTTCAAGAAATTTATTTGTATAACCCAAAGCAGTCAGGTTTGTAAACACGGTTATCCATAACTTGCATTTTAAAAACTTGTTTCTCTTTCTAGTAGTGTGTGTGTGTGTGTGTGTGTGTGTGTGTGTGTGTGTGTTACCAGGGATGGAACCTAGCTGCAGGCCTCTCACACTCACACTGGGGATTTTTATTTTTTATTCCAGCTAGGGGCCTATTTTGTTTGGTTTTCAAAGAATTTGGTTTTTTTGCTTTGTGGATTGTTCTGGGTGGTTGTTGATCTCACAGCTTTTGAGTTTTATTATTTCCCCTCCTGTGTGCCTTGCATTTACCTTATCATTTTTCTTCAGCTCCTTAAGTCTTAGATCACTGGTTATAGATTTTATCCTTATTATTTTTTTAGTGTATTACCCAATTAGCATTTGTATTTTCTCTAAATGTTTTATTGATACTGACTATTCAGAACAGAAAGTACCCTGCATCCTTTGTCTGGCTGACCCAGGCTAGGGTCTGACATGATGCCTGTGCCATGTGCTGTTGGGAAGAACATACAGTTGGCAGCAGAGTGTGTTCTGGAACACAGGTTATGTGAAGAACTGGTCGGATGGTTCTGATGACCTGCCTTTGCTGGTTTATTTCCATAAGTAACTAAGAGAAAACTCAAATCTCAATTATGATTGTGGTAATTGCCTTTTTTTTTTTTGAGATAAGAATAAGTTTGCTAGCGTTTGCTAAGCTGTCGGTTGTATATTAATTCAGTGATCTTATATACGGATGTTTCTGCATTGCCTTAAAATGTCTGGCTCTGATGGGTTTGGATCTCTTTTCCATCAGATAATTCACACACGGATACAGTGTGCCCTGATCATGTCCACTGTGTTTCTACTTGTTTAATTCTTCTGTTTTTACTTTATATTTTGAAGCTACTGTTAGGTTACACTCGTCTCGTATGTACTTATTGAACAGTGTATCATGAAATCCCCTTCATCTTTGGTGAGTTTCCTGTTCAGCACACGTTATCTGAAACGCCACCCTCCAGCTTTGTCATTGTTTCCATAGTTCGTGTTTTCTGTTCATTTCCTGACTCCCTGCCCCTCCTGTCTGCAGTGGGTTTCTACAGACGGCAGATACTGTCCTGCATTTGTGTCTGTTCTGACTCCTCGGTGGCGGCGTCGGCGTCCCCAACATCATCATCATCATCATCTGGTCCCTGTCTCTGGTGCCAGGTCAGCAGCAGGTCACCTGGCTGTGTCAGTCATAACATTTTCTTTGGGGTGTTTTCAGGGGTGGTCTGCTCTTCTGCCTTGGAGTTTGGTGAGCTTCGTGGTTTTGTAAATTTATTCCATTAATTAAATTTGGAAATATTTTAAGCATTTGTTTGTTTGTTTGTTTGTTTCCCAGATTTCCCTGCCTTGACATTGTCTCTCTTTTCTTTCTGGGAATTACACAGATATGCTAGTCCACCATGTAACTGTGCTTTCCCTAAGTCACCAAGTCTCCTGTTATCCCCCGACTCCTACCCAAACATCTATCCCATGATTGTCTTGTTTCTATGATGTAACCAAGCTGCTAAGAGTCTCAGAGGCACAGCTGCCTGTTAGAGGGGTCTGGAAGCCTCAGGATCCCCACTGTGCTAACACAGTTTCCAGAATGTGGCTCTGGAGGAGCGGGCTAGACACTGTCAGTCAGTTGTTCTTCCCAGCAAGAAAGAGACGAATTTCTGTTGTTGGGAAGGATGGTTTTTCTAGTGTGGCTAGCTGAACACTCTTTTCATACTGTAGTGGCTGGTCTTGTGTCACCTTGACACAAGCTACAGTCATCCAAGAGGAAGGGAGCCTCAGTTAAGGAAATGCCTCCATGAGATCCAACCGTAAGGCATTTTCTTAATTAGTGATCATGGGAAGGCCCAGTCCATTTTGTGGGGTGCCCTTCCTTGGCTGGTGGTCCCAGGTTCTATAAGAAGTCAGGCTGATGCCGGGCAGTGCCATGCACGCCTTTAATCCCAGCACTTGGGAGGCAGAGGCAGGCGGATTTCTGAGTTCGAGGCCAGCTTGGTCTACAGAGTGAGTTCCAGGACAGCCAGGGCTACACAGAGAAACCCTGTCTCGAAAAACAAAAAAAAAAAAAAGAAAAGAAAAA